ATAACGGATATTGTCACATAACAGTTATATACTCAATTCACATACATCACTGTGTCACATTACGGATATTGTCACATACCAGTTATATACTCATTACACAAACATCAATGTGTCACATTACGGATATTGTCACATACCAGTTATATACTCAATTCACATACATCACTGTGTCACATTACAGATATTGTCACATACCAGTTATATACTCATTACACATACATCACTGTGTCACATTACGGATATTGTCACATACCAGTTATATACTCATTACACAAACATAACTTTGTCACATTACGGATATTGTCACATACCAGTTATATACTCATTACACATAGACCACTGTGTCACATTACGGATATTGTCGCATACCAGTTATATACTCATTACACATAGACCACTGTGTCATATAACGGATATTGTCACATACCAGTTATATACTCATTACACATACATCACTGTGTCATATAACACATAGTGTCACATACCAGTTATATACTCATTACACATAGACCACTGTGTCACATTACGGATATTGTCACATACCAGTTATATACTCATTACACATACATCACTGTAAACAAGAAGATGCCTATGGGAAGGGGCAAACCATAGACGCCCACCCAACTGTAATCAGCAAGTATTCAAGCTGATTGGTAAACCTGACGAAGGAACAACTTCCGTTAATGGTAAAGAGACAAGAGCCCTGTTAGGTACTGGGTCAACAGTTTTCCATAGTCTCCACATATAGAATAGTATATAGAAGTTGAAGTTCAGGGTGCAGGTGCAACCACAGCGAAGCTTCCTTGTCTCATGCTTTTGTCCCTGATACCCCTTACAACACTGCAGTCCCAGTGCTGTTAGGCACAAATATCTTATCTTGCTACATGGATGAATGTAAGCAACAGTATGGAAACCAATTTCTACAAAAGGCTGATATTCAAAGACCATGGAATTTGCTCTTACAAGAGAGGGAACCTGCACGACACAACTACTCATTTGATAAGATTCGAAGTCGTTTCACCGTTCCTCCTAACAACGAGAGAGTTATCCAGAGATACTTGTTCAAACCTTTTGCCTACAGAGACACATGTGCTGTGGTACAACCGACTACAATTTCTCTGCAAGCCCATCTGACATTGCCCCTGCTGTTGTCAAAGTCAATCATGATGAGAAGATCATGGTTCAAGCTCATGTCTCCACAAGAACATCTGGACCGTTTTGGACAGATCCTTAAGAGAGCTAGGGATACACAGCTAATTTTGAGAAGTCTGATGAAGGAGCTGTGTACTATCTTGGGAATGGAGAAAATAAGAACTACTCCGTATCGACCAATGTGCAATGGGATGGTAGCCCGTTTTTTTAAAGGATGCTAGGAATGCTAGGAAGCATGCCAGGAACTCTTGAGCAAGACAAGAAGACAGACTGGAAGAGTTACGTTGCCTCACTAGTCCATGCCCATAGCCAGTCGCCATTGTGTTTGATATTCCCTACCGAAAAAAACCATCAAGAGGCTTATGACTTTGCAGCCAGAGCATCTCGGACAGCCAAAGACAGGCAGAAGACTGGCTATGACTTAAAAGTGAGAGGTGATATTGTCCAAGCAATTGACACCAATCCTAAAACACTACAAAAATAATATCTGAGCGACACAGATTGTGTGTTGAATGGAGTTCTATCTCCACACGGTTTAAGGACTTGTATCATTGTCATTAAATCTAGAACTGTCAGTCATGGGTAAACAGCAACACCCTGTAGCAGCCCATCTTTAATGGTTTTGAAAAAAGTTAGTTTAATGTGCTTTAAATCGGCTTACCCTGTATTGCGGTCAGTTTGGTGTGAAAAGCCAGTATGCTCTTCTTTGATAGGCATTTAGAAGTTGGAGTGCTAAGTATAGATAAGAAATTTATGGATGAACAACTTCTTCATTACAATTAAGAGCTACATTACTGGCTTCATCCATTGTTTCATGGCACTGACTTCACCGATGGTTATCATCACTGCCCTTGTGTGTACACAACAGGCTTCTCTACTCCAGTATCAATATCTACCCTACTGTATAAACATTGCCTCCTACGTGTATATATACTTGCTTACTGCACTCTGTAAATCACTTGCTTGATAACGGTGTTAGAACCTACACCGAAACGTCGCTCTTAATTGTAAAAAAGAAGTTGTTCATCCATAAATTTCTTATCCTTACTCAGTATGCTCTTCTTTAAACTTTCAAGAAGATTTTTTTCTTGCAATAAATTTTAAACAGTGTCATTTCTGCATTTAGTACAAATTTGAGGGTCAGTCAAGAAACCTAGTGAGTTATGATATCTACTTTTCGTGAATGTATATTACAATCCAATAAAAGCAATTGTGTTGTTACAATATATTAAGACACTTTTGAGTCCTGTGTATTCTGGATGCTTCTAGAACAGCTAGACTAATCCAGCACTGTATAGAACTCTATCCTTCACATTACATCTGACGATCGGCGGAAGTGTGAAGATCATTGTTCTCACATTGGATATCCTGCCTCGGTCTTATTTTTGGAAGCTCGGCCACTGTTGCTGCTTGGTGAATATTATTTCCACTGCTTTTATACTGCCACTATATCGTCTACTGCCATTGTAATTTGTGTGCAGTAATTTGTAAACCTTGTTAATATTATGAAATACTATGACAATGCAGCTTGTTCTTGTGGATATGGGTATAAAAATGTATCGCACTATCCCTTTCCCTGTCCCTTTGATAATAATGTGAGACAGTATTCATTCTTCTGAGGGAGTCGATCTTAATACTATATTAAAAGGTAATGCAAATTTTTAAAAATTCCCTACTTATCTAGATATCTTAAAATCAGTACATTCGTACATACTTCATTGAAAAAGGTTTAAACTAACATGACTCTGTACATCCGGAAGATATTTTTTTTCTCATTACACCAAACAGTTGTCCATGACCACTTGCTCTGGTTAATGTATTTATGTTATCATCATGTATAGTTTTGCTTGCCTTCATGAATATTACTTGTGCTGCCTTTTCACATGTTTACCGATCCAGATTCATTGAATACAAATATGTTTTAATCATATTATAATGCAATTGTTAATTTATACGATTTCTTTGTTGTTGCTGGTTACCCACTGAAACCGTGGAATGGACTCTTAAAATTAGATTGTTTTATGATTATTGAAATGGTTTTGTCGCTAAAAATTACATGCTTTATCTTGTTCTGAGTGTACCCACATCACACTGGTTTTAGAAAGAGTATCAGAAATGTCAAATATACTCTTCAATATAATAAATGTTACTTGAATATTCGACTGAGATAAGGATGAATGAGTGCATAAGACAAAAACATGATCGTATATACGCCAAGAACTGATGACCTTTACAGAGGTCTAATGGCGGCTTATATTTGTGACGTCGTCTGTACATTCATGCTCTATCGGCTGTCCTTCACAGCTGATAACGTGACTCAACCTTCGATACTATGTGTATGTCCTCAAACATCACGAGGTAAATCGATACTATGTGTATGTCCTCAAACATCACGAGGTAAATCGATACTATGTGTATGTCCTCAAACATCACGAGGTAAATCGATACTATGTGTATGTCCTCAAACATCACGAGGTAAATCGATACTATGTGTATGTCCTCAAACATCACGAGGTAAAATAGTACTCTCATTTCACACCTTGAACATTGAGTCAAGTCAAGGGGTAGATTAAATTATGCCTTTACCCAAAATGTGAGTTCCGTATCGTGAGGAAACGTAGCGTTAAAGGGGTATGTAAGTACATAAATTTAAATTCTGCTACACCGTCACCATCGGGATATTGTTGTGAAATCGACGAGTTGGAGCAAACCAAGCTGAATGAATGTTATAATGCAATAAAACGTGTGTGCTGTAAGTGGCGGTAAGTGAAGTCGGCCTCTTAAATTAAATTAAGAATGGGGACTGTGATTTGCAATCTTAATAACCCCTACGTTTTATGAGTTAAGAGAGCTAATCGTATTTAGTTCATTTGACAATCTCTAGTGGGGAGGGCTGAAGTGTTCCTTAGAAAACATCACATTATGATGTCACTAATTATTTACAACTGCCAAACCCTGCTTGCTTTGTTACGAATACACACAAAGATTCATTAATGCTCAGGGTTTATGGAAACCGCCGCTGGATATTATGAAATTATTATACCGCATTCATAACATCATACTAGTATTTGTTCATCGACATGTTGTTCATGATTCTATAGGAGATGAACATTATGTGTGTTCAGGAAAATCTACAGGCATGTTTATAGCGACCACAACATATTTAAGGGGAACCGACACAATGCAAAGCAGACACGTCGCTAACTGTGTCCAATTCATAGGTTGTGTAATGCTGTGGCCAAGGTGACAATCTAGGTTGTTGTCAAAGTACCAAATAACGGCTCAACTAAGAGGTTGTTTTGCAAAATGGTTGTCTGACTGATAATGCACAACACTACATAGACATGTACATCTTACAACATGTAATACATATACATTAGGTAAATCCTGAACGCAATATATGTAAGGTTCGGTTAGGAATTAAAATTGTGGATGAGAAAGAATATAATGAGTGTCTCAAGATGCATCCACAGACAGGACAGTTCGTGTCATCACAGCGGTGTTAGAATGAGTGATGTGTTGGGTGTGTCTTGATACATCCACAGACAGGACAGTTCGTGTCATCACAGGAGTGTTAGAATGAGTATTGGGTGTGTTCTGATCCACAGACGAGCTAGTTCATAATATCACAGTGGTGTTGGAATGAAGGCTACAACAGCGATGGCCTAAGTAAAGCTTTCACAACGTTTCCTGGTGGACATGTCTAAGAATTTTATAAAATTGTTCCATCAGTGACCAAAATGATGTCAATGAAATTCCCCTGTACCATTTTTTCAAATATGTGCAACTAGGAAGGAAAACGCCTGCAAATAATTTCCCGCGTGTGTTAATGTACAACACGTATCACACATTTTTCTAATGGTATTTATTGAAAGAACAAGTATACAACAAGCCCACACGACTAACAGCAGCATTACATAATGTGATTATAACAAGAAAGCTTTACTTAAAATCATACACACATCGATGAGCATAGAAGCACAAACAGTTCACGTTGACACCATCCTTATAACAAATGCTCAAAACATGTTTAATACTTGCGTTAACACTTCTAGTCTTCTAATACAAAATCCCGTTAGTTACAAGAAAGATCGTAGCCACCAGTTGTCATGACACAACAGCATGTGATCATGGACCATGGTTATTTCTCGCTGTCTTGTAAACAGCCCACGTTACTACTCATTCATGGAGTGAAATTGTATGTACATAAGTAATAATCACTTATTACCCTCTTTTATGGAGAAAGAAGACTTTTGGAATACACTCATGAATGCACTCATCCTTTATGAACAGGTTCACATTAAACAGTAATACATAAAACATTAATACATGAACACATTTTACATCATTCGTTGCTACCATACGGATCAAGGCAAAAGGTGTGCAGGGCTCACTTGTACCCCCGACTTCGACTCCAACATGTTTCAAAGTACAAAACATTTTCGTAGAAAATCCACTTATCGAAACCAAACTTTCACTACAGTTCTCCAATTGGTATAGAAATAAATTCTAAGTTAAAAAAAACACGAAAAATAGCTAGGATGTTTCAGAAAATCAAAATATTAAAATCAAACTTTGCACTGCACCTCTCCTATTAGTATGGAAACTTGAACCCTAACGGAAAAGAATCCATATACTATATACCCCGACAGGTGTAATGATGCGGAGACGAAAACGCATGTGACATCGGACAGGGTATCTCCATTCTTCTGAAACTGCTTTCGCTCGGTCCGATGTCTTAAGAAATTTGGCCATAATGAATAAGGTGTAAAAGCATATCATGAGAATATGTTGCAGAGAGCGTAAATAATCTAAATGGTGCATATCTATTTCATACGCATCACGAGAACATTGACTGAAGCAGAACTACAAATCATCACAAGACGTCACAACCTACAAATATTACTCTCATCAGATTAGACTATCTACTGGTTGTCAAAGTGTTGTTGATTATGACTTAAAATGCCTGACCGGTCAAACTGGTGATTTATTTTCCAACGCATAGTAGTTCTGTAGCGTTACAAACTGTTTATCTATTTACATTTGATGTACTCCAGAGTTTAGAATGTTTTGCCACAAACATCACATCCTTTCGTAATTATATGTGTTTGGTCGAAGTTTTGTTTTCACAACTGTCTTGTGGAGTTTAAAGACTGAAAAAATCTATATGTTGTTTCCTTTATCTTCTGATAATACCATGCACGTATTCGTTTTTATTTAATATTTCAAGACACCATGATGTCATAACAGAACATACGCTGGGCAGACATATATACCACAGCGGACGAACATATCTCAGCCGGCAGATGCAGCTTCCTCTCCTAGGCGTCAGGGGCATCATCATACATGCTCGACTGAAGTTTTGAATCTATTATCTTCTCCACTTGGTCAGCTGCATAGTTGAGGATTCTGTCAAGAGCTTTCAAGTGAAGCAGCTTGGTCTTGGTGTCTGTTTCTGTTTCCGTCACATAATTCTTGACGTAACTGATGGCGTATGCTGGAATGCCAGTTTGGTCTGCCATGTTCTCCACAGCTTCCTGTACTAGAGGTGAACTGTACAGGTTGGGGAGATTATCTGGATCCTTGAACTGCGGGTCACACTCATCCAGGTGAGTCAGCACCAGGTAGTAGGACAGGACTGAAACACGAAACTTTTTATCAACACAGGCGGAATTACACAAGAAAAGTCTCTATAGTATACTGTAATGACCATCACAAACAACAAAACATACTGCTGATCATGCGTTAATACTTATTCCAAAAGGAGTGACCTTGACATTTTGTCTTCAACCCTTTGACAATAATTTTATACATATATATGTAAAATGTTGATTTCTGGATCTACTACATGTACTTATCCAAAAGATTTTGCTTTCTCCTGAATGAAAACATTTATACTACTAAACGTTTGGTGAGGATCACCACTTTAAAAGCTAATGCATCAAATTGAGTGCATCTGTTAAAAGTGCGAAAGACGAAGACATGTTTAGTTGATAAAAGTCCGTTGTCATGTGCCACAAAAAGTGACAAATAATAAGTCATATCCCACGTCCAAAAAATATCATAAACAGCAGGAAAAGAATACTTGTTTTGATTAAAATATCAAAGGTGAGGTATCTAAATCTGGTATCCACCATTATCAAAATGGGAGGCCCGTGAAGATCCGGGGTAGAATAGGTCTTCAGCAACCCATACTTGCCGTAAAAGGCGACTATGCTTGTCGTAAAAGGCGACTAACGGGATCGGGTGGTCAGGGTCGCTGACTTGGTTGATGTATGTCATCGATCCCAATTGCTCGAATCGATGCTCATGATATTAATCACTGGATTGTCTGGTCCAGACTCGATTATTTACAGACCGCCGTCATATAGCTGGAATATTGCTGATTGCGGCGTTAAACAACAAACCAACCAACCAATAAAAAAATGGGAACGAATTGTTAACAGATGAATCAGATATTGCTTATAAACTTTGTGAAACTTTAGCTGGACATTCTTCTTCATCTAACTATGTTCCTCAATTCCAAAAATACCATAAACAACAGGAAAAGAATACTATTAATTTTGATGCAGATAATGGGTAAGATTATAATGAAGTATTTTCTCTTCATGAGCTTCATTCTGCCCTTGGGCAAGCTGAATTACCGACCCATTTTATTAACTAGCTGCGTTTGCAAAACCATGGAACGGCATGGTCAACAATAGGTTGACATGGTACTTGGAATTCAAAAATTTCATCATAAATCTTCAATGTGGTTTTCGTAAAAGCCGAAGTAGTGTGTATCTTCTTCGATTTAGAAAAAAGCTTATGACACTCTTTGGAAACATGGTATTTTAAAGGATTTACATGATTATGATTTGAGTGAGTGAATGAGTTAAAATTTAATGTCGCATCGGCAAAATTTCAGCCATATAGCGACGGAAGCAAGTTAATATTCGAGCATAGCAATATTATATACACAGTTTTAAAACACAGGCTTTAGGCCACCAGTCGCCAAAGCTAGGCACCTCGCTGGGGATCATGAGGCCTTACAGTACCTCGGCTACCTGCGTGATACCCTAGCAGGAGATTTTGGATTGAGAGGCCGTTTGCCTCAATTTATATCCAACTTTTTAGTGAGTGAGTAAGTTTGGTTTAAAGCTGCTTTTTTAACATTATTCCAGGTATATCATGGCGTATCAGCTTAATGTTGGAGGAAAACCCGAAGTGATGCAGGTCTCAGACGTTTACTACTTCGGTGAAACCCACGAGCACGGGTATGGTGCTGACAAACCTAGAAACATAATCGGAGCGAACCGGGATTCGAGCCCACAATCATAGGTTTCTGTCGTGCCCAAGACATGCAACTCTGCTCAGCGAATCGCGGCGCCTCAGACGACTAGGCCACCCGTGCCCCCTCTTACTTTTTAACTCGCAGACAATTCCTTGTCCGCGAGGGCTGAACCCTGTGTGATCATTATAATCAGGTTCAGTGTGTCCCACAAGGCAGTCTGTTACACTATTTAGTATTAAGATAAATAGCCTGTCTGAGGTTTTAAATGATTTTATAGATGGGTCACTTTTTGTGGATAGATTTAACATATTTTGTTGTGGTAAAAGTAGGCACTCAATTGAAAGACAATTACAGTGATGTCTTAATAAAATTTAAAATTGGTCACTGGAAAATGGCCTTAATTGTTTTAAAGCCAAGACTAATTGTATACATTTTGTCGAAAATATAAGCCACATCAAGACCCTGTACTATATTTGGATGGCACACATAACATTTCAAAGGAGGCCACATTTCTGGGACTTATTGTTTATAGCCATTTGACAGTTCAAGCCCACAACAATACCTTGAAGCTATATGCTTGAAGGCACTTGACTTGATAAAGTCGTTTCAAATACAAAGTGGGGAGGTGACCTCAGGACCCTCCTCCAACTATATAGAGCTCTTATCCGTTCAAAACTGGATTACGGCTCCATCGTTTATTGGGAAGCATGCAAAAGCAATCTAAAAATACTGGATTCTATACATCAGCAAGGACAACGGCTCTGCCTTGGATCCCTCAGGACTTCTCCCATGAACAGTTTATATGTAGATATTGATAACGTCTAGATTACCGAATGAGAGTTCCATTTTTACAGCAGAATCACAGGCAATATTAACTGCTCTCAAATATATAAATACTCAATCTAAACATAAACGGTTCATTATCTTTTCTGATTCACTTTCCTGTCTTCAGGCAATTAAGAATATATCTTGTAAACATCCAATTTTACGAAAAAAAAATAGAACTACATAATGATCTTGCTACTGGCCAGTACGACATCGTCTTTTGTTGGTTACCAAGCCATGTTGGTATCACTGGTAACACAATGGCCGATGCTGCTGCTAAAGCAGCACTCACCAAATCTGTGACATCACTTCTTATCCCATACACTGATTATAAACCTGTAATCAGATATTATATTCGTGATCTGATGCAAAAGAAGTGGGACACCCAAGTAGGTATCAATAAATTACATGAAATTAAGTCAAATATCGGTCATACCTTCTTGGGTTGTCAGTCCAGATTTGAGGAGGTCATTTTACGACAATGTCGTATTGGCCATAGCAGATACACTCACGAATATTTGTTTAAAGGTGAAGATCCTCCTTTTTGTATCCCTTGTGGTGAGAGAATCACGGTCAAGCATGTCTTGCTTGACTGTGTTGATTTTGCCATCACAAGGGATAAATATTTCAAACATCATCTCTCAATAATTCTCATTTAGTTATTGGGTTTTTAAAAGAGATAGAATTGTTTAACAAATTGTGATAATATGTATTGTATAAAATGAATGACCTTTAACAAATTGGTAGAACGAAATTATATCTTAGTTTGTTACTGGCCGTATCTTCAAAGGGGGTTGACGTAGTGTAACATTATTGTCCCCCTGAGAGGATATTGTAAGTCTATGTCATTCAAAGAATTTGTCTGGCTACTAGTGTCTTAAACGTAGAATATTTGTATTTTTACTTGTGGCTAACTTTGCAAACAATCGCCAGTTGCTGAGGGTATGATGTAAATCCTGCTAGGGTCCATGCAGGTAGCAAAGGTACTGTAAGTCCCCATGGTCCCCTGTATGGTGGTCTGCCTTCAGTTGCTGACGATCTATAGCCCGTTTTTATATTGTGTCGTCTGTTATAATCTGAATATTTTATTGTTCTAAAATAAGTTTTACAATTAGAATCTGTGATATTTTGCTAGTTGTTATACTGTCCTTCAACGACAGGTCTTAAGATATTATATAAATGCATAACTTGCTCAAGTCACGATATGGCTTAAACAATACTGATGTGACTTTTAATATTAACTCACTCACTCACTCTTCACGGGTCAGAAGCAGTGTAAATCCCCACAGTTCCTATTAATATTGTGGTGTCCTAAATTTGGTTGCTGGCGATCTACAACCCGTTCTTATATTGTGTTGTTGAATCGTAGTTTATTCTTGTATATGCTCTCAATCTAGTTTTAACTAAAATCTGTGATATTCTAGTTATTGTACTGTCCGTTGGCGACAGGTATTGTACTAGTATGAATTTCTTTGTTATCAAATGTCTGACTTTATCTCGTCACAATATGGTTGTAATATAGCGGATGTGACGTTAAATTTTAACTCACTAACTGACATTAAATAGAACAACATTCCTGACAACTAAACATTGTCCAAATAAAATGCAATGCAATGAGCTTCTACCGATCCTCAACAGAACCGACATAATACAGTTACAATTATTGTTTAACAGTAAAATACACTGACTTATAACAGCAGCAACGTATAAAAAGTAACGTTTTTGCTTTGTTTCATGCACTGGGGTTCTGGCATCAGTCTAAACTTACCACCCTTTCCTCCTAATTGTATGATGACATTAAGCTGACGTTTCAATTCTTCTCCCAGATCGATGTTATGATGGAGTACCAGAACAACACATGACACATCCCTTCGCGCCTTTTGTTGAGATTGGCCGTCTTCCACCTCCAGAGTTTTAGTTATCTTGAAACAAAGAAAAGGACATGAATCTAGATTGTGAGTAATGCTTATATACAAAAAGTGTTTACATACCTATTTGTCTACAACTTATCCATTACGATGAATGTACTATGTCGTGCTTACCAGGGCATCAAAGCGAACCTTGCCGGATGCAATAGCTTCAATATTCTCCGTTTTGAAATCACTGGATTCAAATATTCCTGGCATGTCAATAATCCAGTGATCTCCGTATCGTGCAGACTGGAACTGTAACATCAAGGCTCATAGTTTATGCTTGGTATTATAGTGGGATCCACTGGCACCTAGTATGTTTTACACTTTTAACAATGTACACGCAACAAAGAACATGATTAACGTGATAAGGTACAAACTAGTATACTATTTTTTAAGGCACACGTCGGCTGATAGGTATAGTTGGTGAGGGGTGTTTTTTTAAACAAGCATCAGTGGCGATGGACACGTGTGATACCTACATAAAATCATCAGAGAGCACAATGACGACAGAGGAGGTGTCTTAGTATTACGATGTGAACAAAACGATAATCAATAAATAATCAGTGAAGAGATATTAGGATTATTCCAGATTTGTTCCAGAGAAAGTACACACTCTGCTAGTAAGTGTGGTGCCGATATTACCAACGGCGTAGTAGTTGGAAGGTGTGTCAGTATCCTTCAGTGCTGATCTCAAGCCATTGCAGAAGGAGGACTTTCCAGCACCGGTAGGACCAAATATCAGGATCTTCGCACGTATCAGGTTCCCTCCCGGGTCTTTCAAGTGTTTAAAGAATTTCTTTTGGAGTTGTTCAAACTCCTGAAATGTATTCAGTTGAAAGCAAGACAGACACAAACATATTCCACTGACAAAAAAGGAAACAAATGATTTGAAGGAAGCTATCGTTGAGGTCTACATTTACAATACCAGTGCGTTGCATCTGGTCGCAACATCTAATCACAAGGGAATTGTAAATACACAAATCTAACAGCTCGTGCACATAGAAGCCAAAGGTTGTGCGCCTATAGGGGAACTCACAATCGATGAACCGACAAAATGGCGATTTGTTGCTGGGAAAGATAGCAGGGACATCAATACCCCAAATTGCCCAAATTACCGCTAATCTCATGGAGTCTTTCGCGTGACAGGCCTAAAAAGATGACATCTAGACAAGATCGTCTCACTGCATAAATTGCACTATGCAATGGAATCAAATCTGCTTCTGTTATCAGTACAATACAAATCTACTATGAAAAACTGTCTCCATGCAATCCGCCTGAAGGGTGTGACCCTAACAGTTCACAATAGGCGGCAAATATTGGAGTGAGTTCGGCAACACCACGGGTTGTGTGCCAATGGCTATCTGCCATGTTGTCAGACCAATCAAGGTTTTGCCTCCGATTCACGCATGGCAGAATACGTTGTTGGTGACGTAGCGGCGAGCAATATGCCATGGTCACTTTTCCTGCCCGGTATGATCGGTATGGAGGCAATGTCTAGTGTGGGGCAGTATCGTACATGAAAGGCGAACTGATTTGATTATTATTGTAAATGAACTTTCGACTGGTCAGTGGATAATTGACGACATTTTGCGTCCTGTCGTTCAGACAGAAGTACCATCAGACATTTTGACCTGCAAGATGACAAAACATGCGAGCATGACCACATTTCCTGATCAGTATCGAGGCTGTGTCATGGTGTGGGGCGGTATTGCACTAGACATACAAACTGATTTCATTATTGTAAATAGACATATGACTGGTCAGCAGCATACTGACGAAGACGCACGATGAGGGATATTCTGGGTCGGAGAATGTACTCCAGAGACAAAGTCTCTCTCTCTCTCTCTCTCTCTCTCTCTCTCTCTCTCTCTCTCTCTCTCTCTCTCTCTCTCTCTCTCTCTCTCTCTCTCTCTCTCTCTCTCTCTCTCTCTCTCTCTCTCTCTCTCTCTCTCTCTCTCTCGTACCTGTGTTGTCCACTGGCCTGCTGCCTTGTTCTTTGGTCCCCATGAAAACTGCTGAAATGTAAAAACAAGATTCTAAATAAATAGTATGTTTATGAATATGATGATATTCCACAGGTTTAAATGGAAGCCTGTGAGCCTATGCATTACATTACACAGTCAAATCGAACATATGTACAATTATGTTTTTCTCTCCCTTGTGTGTGTCCTGAACGTTTTGGAGGAGGTGTGATTGTTCATCTTGTTAAAGGCCTATGCGAACTTAGGGATACAGGCTAGGGACAAACTCCAGAATGCCGAGTACAAATGCAGACTTAAGAAAATCTGCAGTTCAGAGCTGAACGCTCGCAAAAAAAGTTAAATCCACAAATACTTATGATGTACCCATTCTTTCGTATTCTTTTGGTGTTGTTGATTGGACAACACAAGAAATTCGGGCTACTGACACCCTCACAGGCACCCCTCAATCGCTTAAATTTACCAATCATAAAGGGAGGGCGTGGTTTGATTAATAAGGAGGTTCTTCATGACAGAGTCGTATTGTGCACTATTTTTTTTTCTTATGATACTTATCTCTTGATCACTGTCATATTTGTTTTCCAAGTATGCATTAGTTTAGTTGTATATACCACACATCGCAATTACATGCACCAACCATTTCCTATCGGTTGGTGTTTTTGTTTTCACTATTCCAGCCAATATGAGAAATGTGTTTACTTGTGGGACATCTGTTTCGTGCCTATACTTATAATTTCACACTTACCATTAAGTTTTCATCTCTCCTTTTCTTTTCGTCTTTCTCGCTCTGCAGGAGTTGCCTTTCTTGTTCTGCTGTTTCTGCTCTTTCCCTCTGTTTCTCTGCGATTTTCAGCGCCTCAAGTTTTCTTACTGTTTCCCTTTCTGCTTCTTCCCTTGCTTCAACAGCAGCTTTCCTTTCCTGGTTAGCTCGCCTGGACTCTGCTCTTGCCTCCTCTTCCGCGCCTTCTAACTGTTTACATGCATTTTTGTTCACAGTAAACACTATTCCAGCTATATAATCTTCTCTGGGCAATATAAATACGTGTCTTTTTGTGTGAGCAAATTTTATTAATATTAAATTTGTTAGAAGATTTATTGTGTATTTGCAATTTTGTTTAATTCATAATTCTTCATTAATTTTAAACATCATTGTCTTTAGACCTTAAAGTTTTAGCCTAAACTGTTACTAGGACTTCACGGTATTACCGGTACACTCGAATACACTTCTCAAACAATATATATATATCTATAATTTATTACATTACATACATATATATATATATATATATATATATATATATATATATATATATATATATATATATTGTAATATGTTTTTATGTATCCCAGCATATTCGGTTACAACATTTATTAAAAGAAATATTCGTGATCGTCTGAATTGCTTGAACCCAAACCATCAAATGATGTTCCCCTTTGAAATTGATTGAGAAAACCGCAGACGTGGGCGACTGACAACATTAATAAATTTCCTTTATCATGTAGAAAATATATATATGTATCACAATATATTGCAATACAATTTCTTTGCCAATACACAGCTCTAACCGTGGCATTTTCTCTTATCTCATGAAATGCAGTTTTGACCAACATTAGCTTTTACGTTCAATATAATTTCTCTTATACACATACACACGTTATTTGTAAAGTTGTTTTGGCATCATTGTGTTATTTAAAATGTATTAAGTTCAAGTTTTTATAAACTGACAGTTTATCTGTGTACAGAATAGGTAGATAATGAGAATGAAATGTGTACGTTTTCAAATTGTCAAAACCCTAGTGGAGATTCCGGATCAAAATAGGTCCTTGGTGTTCTAGAGTTGACTAGAGTGGATCTTGTGGTCGAACTCGCAGCATAACTTAGCAAACATTCAAACACATATACATGACAGCAAACAAACATCTAAATGCAAATATACAAAACAAGTCTAAATAATAATGTTAATATAAGGTACATTGTATGATAAAATTGTAGTGTCCATAGTCAACAACTTATCCGACCATTAGATGTACGCAACATAAATAGAAAAAGAAATGAATATCAGGTTAGACCCGTGAAGATTCCGGGGTAGTATAGGTCTACAGCAACCCATACTTGCCGTAAAAGGCGACTATGCTTGTCGTAAAAGGCGACTAACGGGATCGGGTAGTCAGGCTCGCTGACTTGGTTGATGCATGTCATCGATCCCAGTTGCGTGGATCGATGCTCATGATGTCAATCACTGGATTGTCCGGTTCAGACTCGATTTTTTTACAAACCCCCGTCATATAGCTGGATTATTGCTGAGTGCGGCGTTAAACAACAAACAAACAAACAAAAATATCAGGTTAATATAAGCTAATTGTGTTTTAAAAGTACAAAAATAAGCTGAATAGCAACAGAACTCCACTAAAACAATATGAGCAACCAATTGCACAATACTTTCGCTGCCCAAATGGCATGCATTATAGATTTTAGATTATTTTTAATTGCTTCCTGTTTGCATTGTCAGTCATAACTTATTGCAACCTTCCTCAAGGGAAATACTGCTTTTTAATTTATATTATCTCTGACTACAAGGTATCTTCAGTGCACGTGTCACTTACCTTCCCCTTGGTAACTGTAAGGGAACCATATACATTATGTTAGTGATAGATTATTCGAAGCGAGTGGTAACCATGTCACATATTTATTTCATGCCAAACTGTCTGTGAAACAATAGCTGGTAGAATAAATATGTGTACATTATGAAGTCGGTGTTGAATTGAATCACTGTGAAATGTTTGTTTTTTATTTAAATGAACGATAATCTTCTACCTTCAAAATGTATCCACATAACGCACATTATCTAAGATAATATCACCTTGTATGGATATACTTCTGTTGTAGACTGCAATACAAATGCAACATGATATGATAGTTGAAGGGATCTCACTCGGTTGGTGCATGTCGTCGATCCCAATGGCATCGATTGATGCTGGTCCAGACTCGATTATTTACAGACCGCCGTCATATAGCTGGAATATTTGCTGAGCGAAATATTGCCTGATGTTCTCACGATGATTTTAGTTGACATCAAAACGAATGTATACTTACCGAGGGAGAACCAGCTCATGATTTATTGATGAGCTGAAAAAAGGGAAAATCATCACCTGGTATATATTTATATGAATGGTTATACACCATACATCACTGCCTCATAACTACATTAAATAATTTCATATTTCACTCAATGGTCAACAGGCCTATTATGGGCCTATCTAACATCAAATAGTCATAGTCAGTACCATACGACATGTTATCGCTTGATACATAGATACAAACTATCTGCTGAAACAATCAACGTGTAACGAAAGGCTTAAATCCATCCACAGATTTTTCTAACTATAAATGTTTCTAACAAAGGATGATGTGATGTGTCAAGTGATGTGTTAACTTACGTTGTAATGTGGCCTGCAAGGAATAACACGTTGTACCAGGTCTAGGAATACACATTCACTGAAACTGGATACCAGGGTCGGCGGTATAAACCGGCCTGTCAGGGTTGATTTCAAGGTAGGAGGTGCAACGCCTGACACGCCCACAAACCTGATAGCAGTGACAAGCTCAAGCGAACATACAAGTGTGTCTGTATTGCCTGACTACAACAGTTGGCATAGGTGAGTTACATATTTTAATACTGATTCTCAAAGTACAAGAATAGAATAGATTCTGATCAAAATTACTTAATCCCATAAGGAAATTAAGTTTTGTTTAGAGCTTTGATGGCATTAGTTTAGAGGGCTTTTGTATACTTAGGTGTCTCTGTGTGAGAAACTTATTTAAATGGGAGACGATAGTTTTTGTATTGCAGTACTTTACATGAGGCGCACTCACAAAGATAACATTAACTGGTAGAATAATAGTTCTGTTGTGAACAGCATGTCAAATGCGAAGTAGGAATGAATCAAGTTGTTGTATAGCAAAAGTTATTTCAGTTTGCATCATGAACGAACCTTTTACGTTCGCTTCTTTGCAGTTCATATATATATATATATATATATATATATATATATATATATTGTTCTTTCTGCTTAACGTACTGTTAATATTGTATTATAACATATAATTACTTACTTGGTGCGCAAGGAGGTATATACAGGTGTTTGCATCTATGTGGGCATGACATCAGTATTTGATTGCATAGTTATTATATGTATAATTCAATGTTCATTGTTCACTATTTATGAAAGGGCCACGTATTATACTGAAGGTAAAATAACCTCTAGTACAGAATGTCTGGGATTCCCATATTACACTCGAGGGATTCAAATAGCTTGCACATCGGTTTTTTCGATTCACACTTCAATGAACTGAACAAAATGCATAGTCAATGCTTAAATACGTGTATGTGAAGTAACTGTGATGTCAGAATGTCCTCGTTTACATGTGGCCAAGAATCGTTCAGAATACACCAATTAATCACTCATCCCAGGGTCTGCAACAGCTCCAAGCGTTTAGCTCGCTCATCCACAATAGCTGCGCCACTACCGATCGGTTACCTTGCCTGAAGGCAGAGAGTAATAGAAGAGGCTCGATTCATGAGCCGATGGATTTATGACCTCGGCCAGCGATTGGTGCGGTTCCAAGTGGCTGTATATTTAAAATTCAATGTTCATTGTGTTCATGAATTACTCCTGCATTCTAGTTGATTTGTTCCTTATTTATGAAAGGGCCACGTATTGTACTGAAGGTAAAATAATTAGCCACACCCATCACCAATACGGAATGTCTTGGAATCCCATACTACCCTTGAGGGAGTCAAATAGTTTGCACATCGGTTTTTCAAATCATACTTCAATGAACTGAAACAAAATACATAGTCAATGCTTAAATACATGTAGGTGAAGTAACTGTGATGTCAGAATGTCCTCGTTTACATGTGGCCAAAAATCGTTCAGAATACACAAATTAATCACTCATCCCGGGGTCTGCAACAGCTCCAAGCGTTTAGCTCGCTCATCCAAAATAGCTGCGTGACTACCGATCGGTTACCTTGCCTGAAGACAGAGAGTAATAGAAGAGGCTCGATTCATGAGCCAATGGATTTATGACTATTGATGACTACTTTGGAGCAGACTAGGGATGCTAGGATGTTAGATTGAAGCGACCTCGGCTGACAGGTTGCGCCCTGTTGTGAGGCGAATCGCTGAACACAGCTTACAAGCAATTGGCATTTTGCAACTCAGACGAGAAGTACTTTCCCTCCTTTCAGTCCATCAGCCCATAACATAATACATTGACGTCATCATTTAGGAAGCTGCAACGTTCATACAGCTTACTCGTTCAAAGTGAAATTTTATTCTTATATTATATAAATCACTATATTTTACATCAAAGGATGTAGTTCTGAACACAATTGTATTTAGTACGCGTGACTTCATGTTTAAACTGACACCCATACAACAGCCATCTGTTTTACAGAATGAAGTAGTTTCACGAGAGGTGATATGAACGTTAGATTGCTTACATTGTTCTTCAGAGACATATTTTGTAGTTTGTTCACAACAATCATAATCCAATAATGTCATCTTTAGAAGAGAAAGGTCTCTTACAAACTACCTCAATTAGTCTGTCACAATTACAGCACTTCGTAACAAACGTCATATAAAACTAAGACGTGCAATCATTAAAGGTGATTGTAAACATGTGTTAACTAAGGTAAAATCAATTATTGCTATGTACTGTATCTTTCTGCATGGACAGGAGTCGAGTCGATACTACAATAGTTTGGATGTGCATTTTTTGCGTCACTGGGATGTTTTGCAAAGATATATGTGAACGAGCACGCAGTCAAACTCTCTGACTTTGTAATACATTCATTAGATACAGCATCATATCATTAATTGTTTACCAGAGCTTTGCACTGGTTGAAATAGGCTTGTGAACAGTGACTCATTCTCGTGGCGAATTAATTTTTCATCTTTGAATAGTTCGTAAACAGTAAAAATCATAAAGTTTTCATTTCCACACCGATCGGTCCACTCGTTTATAAGAACCGTATTTTCGGAACTCGTAGTTACGTACATATTTTAAAGAATATGAATGAAGACTTACCGTCTCCAATTATAAAGTGACATGCTAAAACAGTTATGAGCTGATGAACTCCTTAAAAGATCTAAAGTAGTTTATATATGCAGATATGGAGAAAAAGAGTAAAATTATGAAAAAGTGTTGTTTTCACATTCTTACCTGTTAACTGAATTTTGGAAAGTGTAGTTAGATTTGAAAACGTATTCATCAGATACCTAAATGCATGTTTCTTGGAATTGCAACAGCAGTCATCATGGCAAGAACTGAACGTTTTGGAACTTGATATGTTGAAGGATGACACCTGTGGAATATTATAATGAGATCTTTCACCGACAGAAAACATTAAGCAACTTGATAAAAGTAATGTTCCCTTCGAATGTCATAGACCACAGACGAAGACATTTTTTTATGTTTTTTCGCCTAATCTGTTCTAGATATGTCACTGCAGCTTCATATTTTGCCTTGCACATCTTCTGACAAACTCAAGAAGTCTTTCCTTGACCAACTATCTCTCCATGTTGAGCTGAACAGGGAAGCCTCCTCCACTGTTTCACTGCCGCTCATTGTGATATTCCGGCCTCAAGGCAGACCGAACGATGAATTTGATGGCGTGGTTTTACCTTTCCTTGATAAAGGTAGGATTTGGTGTGGATGTAATGAGTGGAGATGCATGCAGATGTTGTTAAAGTGTTATTTTGATAACATTAACGTAATTATTATTGGAGCCCCTAATTTATCTGTTACAAGATACAACAGATTTTCATTTCAGGTGATCCCAGCTGCAAAGATGTTATTCTCTTCACTGCCCTCGCCACGACACAGCTCTATGGTCGTGGCTTCACTACAGATTGTACATCGAGATTTAAGTACATGGACAAGCTCTTTATTACGTCAGGACATCTTGATACTCAAATTAATAGATCAACATTTACAAAACTTGGAGACATCCTTGTGCAAGAATATGGCTTCAAGGTATGTACGTGTCACAAATCAACTAAGATATGAAAAATTAGAAAGAGGTTGCAGTGTGGTTTTAAATTGAAACTATCTGTGACGTTGTACCACAAGTGTATAGCAGGAGTTTATTGCTATTAATGCAAGTATTTTGTTTATTATTTTAGCAGACTTCGGGTAGTCATTCACATGGAGAACAAGACCAGGGGTCAATACATCTCGGTGGAAACCAAGGTAAACTTTTCACATGTACGCACTTTAGTATTATAAGAATGTCAAAAAGTGATGTAGAATTGTTTGGACACTGTTCCTTGTGTTATTTGATTGATATATGTATGTCTAATTTTATTATGGAAGGATGATACTTGTTGCATGGTAACTTTACTTTCTTTCAGAGGAGGTAATCAAACGTTCTGGTAGCGATCTACGCAAGCAACTAGACAAAGACCTCTCTCCTGGGGGTGATGCCAATATAGAAGTGGGCACAGGCTACTCTCTTGGAGGTGATGCCAACAGACTAGAGAACAACTCTGCTAGACGTAAGTGAACAAACCCAATAATTATGGCAGTAAGGCGATCTGGAAAAGAAACGATTGAAAAGTAACATACTTCCATATGTATATGCTGTCAGTAGTAGTTATCCTGAGACATTTCAGTTTTGATGAACTGTCAACTTTTGTATATACTATATATGCACTGTGAAACCCCATTAAACCGTCCAGAGTAACGTATTTCCGGAATATCGCAACATGGGTACAACGTATGTCATGTTGTATGCATATATATGTCCTCGGGTGTAATTATCCTGAAGGCTCAGTCTCTGAGTACAGATGTGTCACCACATCAAACCTCTCCACTGGGATATTTCAGACAGATTACGGATTATAAATAAGGAAATGGAGGGGATGACAACTGACTTGCAAAAGGAGGTGGAGAACAAGTGGAAGTTACTGGTGCAACTACCTAGGATACTTGAAGCTGTGCTTGAAGAACTGTACCAGGAACCAAAGGTAGCAGAATTCATTATGATATTATACTTTCTTCATCAACCATATATTTTAAACTGTCAGGCCTTCATATTTTAATACTTGCATCTTAATTCTGATTTATTAATCATTCATAAGTGAGTGCCAAATAAACAGCAATCCTGTGCATAATAATGCAGTAAGTAAGTTCAGAATCAATGAAATGAAAAAGAATATATCTTTGAGAAATATGTTGAAAATAAGCATGCTTTCCTAAAATGGCTTTTTGCCACTGCATGCTATGTTAAGTAAAGGTATATTAAAAACTCGCTGAGGTTATTAGATGAAATTGTCTGTGGGGATTACAGATCACTGAGAGAAGCTCATGCACGCTGGCTTACCACAGCAACTCGGTTTTATAAGCTGGAGCTATGGGGCATTGTTTCTCTGATGTGCAAAATGTCCCAAGTTATGACGTGTTTGTGGTACTGAATTCTGTTTTACATGAGTATGAATACATTTCAACAGAAGCTGTCTTTTGGCTCAATATCAAGCAGATTCCATGCACGTATAGCTAGCTAAATAGAGTTAATGTTCATGTGTCAATTAAGCATGATAAGATTGCATATGATTCTTTATCAAGGCAAATTGTGCTAGTTGAAAACCATTATAACATACAATATATAAAGATATTGTGACAGATTTTTGAGTGTTTTACGTATTTCAACATTTCTAATAGAGTTATCAGTTAACCATTGAGAAAGGAAACCAAACTTTTGTGGTGTTGAGAAGAATACTAGATCCACTGTCGTATTTTTTCAGGCTGCGGAGATACTGGAAAGATGTAAGTTTCTATCAACTTCTTTATATAACATCATTCACATTTTGTTGGCCACCTCTGCTCGGAAACGATATGGCCAGCAAGATAGAGCTACAACTGGGGCTGGATCAAGGATCACTAAATAAGATCATACAAGCAGTGCTAAAGTACCACTAACGTAAATGTGGTTTGATATTCAAATAGCATGATATAATCAATTGTTCCGTCAAATGTTATCCTTTAATGATGATATCTATTACATAAAATGTTTTTATTTCTTTCAGATATCGAACAGACATGCAATCATTGCACAAGAGATGATCAAGTCAATGCTACTGGTAGTGATGCCAACAGCAAAGGTTACAAAGGCAGTACAACTAAACATGATGCCAACAGCCGTGGGGACAAAGGTAGTGGTGTTACAACCAGTACTTCTGAAGGCGGGAAACCTCTGGTTTCTGTTGGTCACCAACTCACTCACTCCACAAGAGATGCACCACCACGAGGCGAAGAGTTACTGGTTAGTGAGAGATGGCTTCTTGAAGTAACACAACTGTATATTTAGTGACACCAAGGTCACACATGGCTGGATCCTTTTGTTGCAAGTTCCAGAGAGGCATGTGATTAACTGAGAATAGTCCCCCGAGAGTGATAAAGTTTCCATATTCTCCTTGACTTCATGTTCTGAGTGAGTGAGTTAGGTTTAACGCCGCTTTTGACAGTATTCCAGTTATATCGCGGCGTGTCAGCTTAATGTGGGAGGAAAGCCTGAAGTGATGCAGGTTATAGACTTTTACCACTTTGGTGAAATCCACGAGCACGGGTATTGTGCTGACAAACCTTGTAACATGATCGGGGTTTAACGAGATTCGAACCAACAATCATAGGTTTCAGGCGTACCCAAGGGACGCAACTCTGCATAGTGACTTATGGGGCCTTAGACCCCTTGAAAGATTATAAACAAACATGTTTCTCGGTCTGCATTTGGCATGTAATATGCACTCCTTACTGCTGTATGTGTACAGTTTCCTTTTTTTCAGGAGTCAGGACATAACATTCGCCTTCCTTCCGACACAGGATGCCACCAAACCCTCAATGACATAGGTGAGCTGTTTAGGAACAAGACCTGTCACCTTTGTTTAAACTACAGATGAATTGTGAAACACTACTAATACTGGCAGTTAGGCTCTCAGTAATCATCCAGGGTAACATATCCGCAAGAATAACGAAAAATGAGAACAAAGTAATATAACTTTATATGCATATACATATTTAAGAAAGGACCGTCTCTGAGCATTGATGCGTCCCTACATCAAACCTCTCAGTTGGGATATTTCAGATAGTTTACGGATGATACAGGAAGATTTCAACAAAATGACAGCTGATTTGCAAAAGTATGTGGAGACCAACTTGAAAGTACCACAAGGGAAACTGCTCACAATACTTGAAGCGGTGCTCAGATATCAGGAACAGGAACGAAAGGTAACAAATCACGAGAGTCATGATATCATACTTTGTCTTATCAATCATATCTTTTAAATTGTTCACGACATGTTCATGTTCGAGAGTTACGCCCCTTGTCATGTCAAGACGTGTGTTGATGCGCTCTGTCAAAAATTCACCTTAATGTCGTATTATGGCCGAAATTGACAGAATTGAAGTTGAAATAAGCGTTTGACAGAATACCAGGGACCGAAGTAAGACAAGAAATGGTGTCGATCGACGTCTATAGAGCAAGAATTGGATTTTTCAGTCAACCAAAAGGCACCCGTCAAGTAACACTTGACAAACATGGCGAGTATTCACCGACTGTCGTTGGGTCTGATATACACTTCAGAATCGTTGTATGCGCAGCTGTGTATATCTTGCATAATGGTTTAAGCTATGCTGTTTTGAACGCATGTGAAAGTGTTGATATTTATTCATATTTACCAAAAGAGCATGTTTGTGACCTTGTTTTCACCAGTGACGTCACATCATTCAAAACTGAATGGCCAGCTTGGCCATCTCAATCTTCACGTGCTCCAGTCGCTTGCCTTTTAGGTGGTAATCCACTGCCCGCTGAGGTAATAACACATAGAATCTTGTGTGCAAATGACATCGAAATGAACCCTGGACCACTTACCTTAGCAGAAGTCAAAGATACCATTTTGAAGGAAGATAAAATTTGCAAAATCTGTGTTTAGATGTGATGACTTTAGACATGATGATATATGTATACATTGATGTCGACAATGCCCCTGTTGAACAACGTGTATCGCACGATGGTACTATCAATAGATTCGGACGCATTTTATTGAATCTATGCTTTGTACTTCGTATGTTTATACTAAATGGGAGAGTTTATGGTGATAGTGCAGGCGAGTTTACTTTTGTAGGAGATACTGGTTCTAGTGTTGTTGATTATTTTGTTGCATCAGCTGATTTTTTTCAGTATGTAGATATGTTAAATGTTGGTGATGGATCAGATTCAAACCATTTCCCTCTTGTGTTATCCTGCAGGTTTCTCTGCACGTCAAAACCTGGTTCAAATTAAACTTCCGTCCAAAATGCATTTGGGGCTGTATGTATAGGCCAATCCATACAACGTTGTGCTGCTAAGTGTTGATGTGTGACTTTTTAACTTAATCAATGCATACTAGTATTTAGAGTGAGATGTCATAGGAAATAAATGATCTGCACTTCCAAACCCGGCTCAAGGGTAATGTTACACCATAATGCATTAGGCAATCGTCATGTGACCTCTTTTTGAGACCATACAATGCGTTATAGGTATCTTAAAGGATCTTGTGCATCCGGCAGCATCCCTAACATAGACGAGCAAAATAATGATTTAATGATTATTATTTTCATACATTTTTAAGTGTCTCTAAGTAACCCCTTATGCTTCGGGACCAATGTCGGAAACCCCTAATAGTATGGTATCTGCAAAAAGAGCAGATTCTGGGCAGTCACCTCAATACAGTGAACAAGGCCAGGGACAAACTTGGACAAAGACTAAAGAAAAAGAAATCCAAGCGCATCCATTTTACACCGAAGTTCCAATACATTTTGAGATCCTTTGGATATTTCCTGTGTGACTTCATATTAGGAACAAGAATCTTGACCTATTTCAAGGAATTCATCTATGTATTCTGATAGTATTTAAAAAGACAATGTGTAGGCATGTTATTATTTCTACTTGCTGAATAACTCACATCTAAACTTACGTGAAACTGAAACTTTTCAAAATGTCATAAACGTTTTACCGGTACCTAGGTGCCTACGTCCACTAAGTGTCCCTTTGTTACCTGCCGGAATATGACAGAAGTACTGATGTGCGGCGTTAGGCAACAATCCTTACTTTATGCAGGTTATGTGAGTGGCAGGTATCATCCGTAGGGAAGAGCATGTTAAAGCCTTTCGTGACAATCTGATGTCTTCACATATTTTCAGTGAACCATTCGTATACTTTTCACGACAATTTTGATAATCGGGACTGATTATTCTCTGACATTAACATTTTTGTCTACTCACAAAGACGATGAATGATTGTAGTGCTATGTCTCCCTTACATGTAGCTCTAAGTCATGTTAAGTGTAAATGCAAATTATATTCCAACAAATCGAATCAAAATCAAATAACACACACACACCAACTGTTGCGTTGATCATTTCAGGTCCTGAAGAAACTGAGGTAGATTTGGACATAAAGAATTTTAACATGACGCCTGCAACCTCCATGACAAGATGCATTTAGGTGTATACGGAAGGATATTCAGTGAACCTTATTTTCAGGATGTACGTGACGTTGAAACAATACACATGAACAAGTTTACGATCTAAACGGCAAGTGTCAGGGCAACTTACGACATTGCCATGTATTCATCCACAATACCTTTAGCCTTTAGCCTGTCTGATGAATAGGTGCATGTTGCTTTACTCCACAGTCAGCAATGTTCCATGTTTTCCTTGTCGGGCCAGCTAGGCAAGGTGAAGCAGTAGGATCTATATACCATGTCTGAGTGTATATATCCCGCGCCAGCTAGGCAAGGTGAAGCAGTAGGATCTATGTACCATGTCTGACTGTATATATCCCGCGCCAGCTAGGCAAGGTGAAGCAGTCGGATCTATATACCACGTCTGACTGTATATATCCCAGGCTAGCCAGGCAAGGTGAAGCAGTAGGATATATATACCATGTCTGACTGTATATATCCCGCGCCAGCTAGGCAAGTTCAAGCAGTAGGATCTAAATACCATGTCTGACTGTATATATCTCAGGCCAGCTAGGCAAGGTGAAGCAGTCGAATCTATATACAATGTCTGACTGTATATATCTCAGGCCAGCTAGGCAAGATGAAGCAGTAGCATCTATATACCATGTCTGACTGTATATATCGCAGGCTAGCTAGGCAAGGTGAAGCAGTAGGATCTATATACCATGTCTGGCTGTATATATCTCAGGCTAGCCGGGCAAGGTGAAGCAGTAGGATCTATAAACCATGTCTGACGGTAAATATCTCAGGCTAGCCAGGCAAGGTGAAGCAGTAGGATCTATATACCATGTCTGACTCTATAAATCTCAGGCAAGCTAGGCAAGGTGAACCAGTAGGATTTATGTACCATGTCTGATTGTATATATATCAGGCTAGCCAGGCAAGGTGAAGCAGTAGGATCTATATACCATGTCTGACTGTAAATATCTTAGGCTAGCTAGGCAAGGTGAAGCAGTAGGATATATATACCATGTCTGATTGTATATATCTCAGGCTAGCTACGCAAGGTGAAGCAGTAGGATCTATATACCATGTCTTATTGTATATATCTCAGGCTAGCCAGGCAAGGTGAAGCAGAAGGATCTATATACCATGTCTGACTGTATATATCTCAGGCCGGCTAGGCAAGGTGAAACAGTTGGATCTTTATACCATGTCTGATTGTATATATCTCAGGCTAGCTAGGCAAGGTAAGGCAGTAGGATCTTTATACCATGTCTGATTGTATATATCTCAGGCTAGCTAGGCAAGGTGAAGCAGTAGGATCTATATACCACGTCTGACTGTATATATCCCAGGCCAGCTAGGCAAGGTGAAGCAGTAGGATCTCAATACCATGTCTGACTGTATATGTCTCAGGCCAGCTAGGCAAGGTGGAGCAGTCGAATCTATATACCATGTCTGACTGTATATATCTCAGGCCAGCTAGGCAAGGTGAAGCAGTAGGATATATATACCATGTCTGACTGTATATATCGCAGGCTAGCTAGGCAAGGTGAAGCAGTAGGATCTATATACCATGTCTGACTTTATATATCTCAGGCTAGCCGGCCAAGGTGAAGCAGTAGGATCTATATACCATGTCTGACTGTAAATATCTCAGGCTAGCTAGGCAAGGTGAAGCAGTCGGATCTATATACCACGTCTGACTGTATATATCCCAGGCTAGCCAGGCAAGGTGAAGCAGTAGGATATATATACCATGTCTGACTGTATATATCCCGCGCCAGCTAGGCAAGTTCAAGCAGTAGGATCTAAATACCATGTCTGACTGTATATATCTCAGGCCAGCTGGGCAAGGTGAAGCAGTCGAATCTATATACAATGTCTGACTGTATATATCTCAGGCCAGCTAGGCAAGATGAAGCAGTAGCATCTATATACCATGTCTGACTGTATATATCGCAGGCTAGCTAGGCAAGGTGAAGCAGTAGGATCTATATACCATGTCTGGCTGTATATATCTCAGGCTAGCCGGGCAAGGTGAAGCAGTAGGATCTATAAACCATGTCTGACGGTAAATATCTCAGGCTAGCCAGGCAAGGTGAAGCAGTAGGATCTATATACCATGTCTGACTCTATAAATCTCAGGCAAGCTAGGCAAGGTGAACCAGTAGGATTTATGTACCATGTCTGATTGTATATATATCAGGCTAGCCAGGCAAGGTGAAGCAGTAGGATCTATATACCATGTCTGACTGTAAATATCTTAGGCTAGCTAGGCAAGGTGAAGCAGTAGGATATATATACCATGTCTGATTGTATATATCTCAGGCTAGCTACGCAAGGTGAAGCAGTAGGATCTATATACCATGTCTTATTGTATATATCTCAGGCTAGCCAGGCAAGGTGAAGCAGAAGGATCTATATACCATGTCTGACTGTATATATCTCAGGCCGGCTAGGCAAGGTGAAACAGTTGGATCTTTATACCATGTCTGATTGTATATATCTCAGGCTAGCTAGGCAAGGTAAGGCAGTAGGATCTTTATACCATGTCTGATTGTATATATCTCAGGCTAGCTAGGCAAGGTGAAGCAGTAGGATCTATATACCACGTCTGACTGTATATATCCCAGGCCAGCTAGGCAAGGTGAAGCAGTAGGATCTCAATACCATGTCTGACTGTATATGTCTCAGGCCAGCTAGGCAAGGTGGAGCAGTCGAATCTATATACCATGTCTGACTGTATATATCTCAGGCCAGCTAGGCAAGGTGAAGCAGT